CACTCTTGCCCCCACACCCTGCCTGTTGCATTGCACCAGTCACTCATCATGGGTTCCGGGCCTGCCCCTCATCACCCTCCAGCCCATGCAGACAGGATGAATTGATTGTGGCATGCTCTCCTGCTGAGCCTCATCATTCTCAGGGCTCCAGGCAGCCACTGCCAATCAGTCAGCGCAGGAAGCAAGATATAAACCATCTGCCACCAGGACAGGATGCCTCTTGTCATGGGTAACACCTGTGGTTCCCAGCACACGGCGCTGGGCATGGTTTTCATTAAAGGGAAATAGCCAGTCTCTAAGCTTATTGTCTTGACTGAACAAAGCCTGCTGCAAATGTTTAGTTCAAAGATCTTTTCCCCTCTATTTGAGAAGTACACAGTTAACACCCTCCCCAGCTCTGCAACATCCTCGATGAATCTGCCAAGCTGGAGAGAGGCTTCTGTCTTCCCAAGGACCTTTTAAAATGAGCTTCAGTAAATCACCAAATTAGCATCAGGTTTCTAATGTGGCTGTATATTTCAGCCTAAAAGCAAATCTAGGAGAGAGCTACATATGGAAAAGCTTTGCAGCAAGTGAGCTGGCAGCTCCACCGTGGCTTATGACACACAGACCTTTGTGCTGTGGTCTGAGGCAAGGAGAGCGGCGAAGTTCACGTCCTGGATCGGCCCCCACAGCGTGGACAGCAAGTGAAAAGGTGGGTCTCACACACAAGGGGGAGTTCTCCAACAGAGGGTGCATGCCCAGACCTGTGCTGTAATGACCCACACTCATTAGCAGTGGGGGCAAGGAAAATGGGTTCCTGGAGAGGATTCCAGCCCATTATTTAACAAGGCAGCAGCGGGAAGCTGGGGCCTTACCATTAAACAGATCTAGGTTACAATCCCAGCCTGCCCCACTCGCTGTGTGCTATTGAGCATCTCCTGCCACCTCTCTGATCCTGGCTCCAGCCTCATGGGTGCCTCTGAGGATCAGAAAGCATGCAGGTCAAGTGCTGGCAGAGAGCCCAGCACAATGCAGGTCCTCTAAAGCACTGCCGTAGTATGGGAAGTGCAGTCCAGAAACTTCAATCCTGCAAAGCGCTGAGTGGGGGCTGTTTTAAGGTCACAAAAAATAATAATTCCAGCTGTTCCTTACATTTGCAAAAAATCATAGAGTTTAAGATAGTGAAGCTTGTGCTGTCCCCAAGTGACCATGTATAAGGCAAGGATGATCTGGAGACCATCATGTTCCAGCTCTTCCTTCCCACCCTGACCCCTGGGGAAGGAAAGATTTCTGGCTTGCACATGTTTGAGAACGGGGACCAGGGTAGAGGAGAGGAACCAGCCTCATCAGACTTGCAGCTATTGATATAACCACCAGGTCTTCTCACTTAATCTAGGAAGACAATAGAGTAAATTACATTGACTGATTTTCAATGTTGAACCAGCCCTGCATTTCTGGGATGGATCCCACTTGGTCAGGATGTATTACTCTTTTTATATATTGCTAGATTCACTTTGCTATTTTGTATATATGCACATGAGGGATATTGGGCTGTAGTTTTCTTGTGATGTATTTGGTTGTGATATGAGGGTAATGCTGACTTGTAAAATGAGTCAGAAGTGTTCCTTCCATGTTATATTTGATTTTGATTTCTTGCACGGTGCATTATTATGGAGCACCTGGGCTATGTTGGGCTCTGTGCTAAACACTTTACACCAAGTCTCTTCTTTGATCCTTTAGTGCCTGTAAGAGACAGGTACCATTCCTGGGGCAGCCTTTTCTGATGACCTCTAGAGTCCATATTCTAGAGGTCTTGAGAATTGATCAGGCTGCTGCTATTTTTCCTGAGATCAATAAAATTGCTAAGGTAGGCAACAGTTGGCCTTGGGCCCATCGTAAAGAAAGTGAAATGGGCAGCATCCTTGGGATGAAGAAGCGGCTACCTGGGGAGATGGGGATGGGTAAGGGAGCTTCTCAGTCTGAAGCCTGTGGAGGACACCACTTGTCTTTTTCTAGGCAGGCATGCACACTGCCCAGGAGGCCCTGAAAGCATCACATTCATAGTGTCACTATTCAGAGCTGGAGGATCTTAAAGGGCATCTAATTAAATTTCTAAACCTATTTGATGTTTCTGACAAAGGGTTACTCTTCTGAATTCTTACTGTGATGGGGAGCTCATTACTCTTCCAAACTTCTGCCTCTGGGTCCACCAGCCTTCAGTTATCCAGCCCCCTACAAGGCACCAGGGAAGTGTGCTCAGATGCACATTTGCCTCTGCAGGCAGGATGCAAACATGTGCTGGGCAGTCACGCCTGCTCAGGCCCTGGAGTCCCTCCATGCTCACTTAGCCTCTCTACCAGCCTCCCATCTTCCACTCTCCCCAAGGAGTGCCCCCCCACATGGCAGAGGGGATGAGCTTCCTGCAACAGACCTGATCATGACATTCTCTGCCTGAAATGTCTGATGGCTCCTTCCTGCCTCCAGAATCAAGTCCCACTCTCACCTTTGGGCCTTCACACATGCTGTTTTCTCTACCTGGAAAGTTCTTTCCTCCTCCTTCTCCTGTAAACTTTCTCGTGTCCTTAAAGACTAAGCTCAGACACCACCTCCTCCAGGAAGACTCTGGTGGTTCTCACATTTCATGGTAAACATCTGCTGGATCATTTGACTTGATGGTGGGGTTTACATGGCTCACTCTATATATGTGAACCCAGCACGCAGCCAGGCACTCTGTGTTGCTTGTTTGTTGAATGAGCGAGTGGATGAGTGTCCTTGCCTTTGGTGGGGCTGCTGGCTACCAACCCATTCCTTCCATCCCTAATCATTGCTGGGGCCCCACCCTATGGACTGCCTTGTATTGACAAGAGAAAGGGAAAAACAGATTTGGGTAAACCTTTCCACTTGCCCTGCTGAAGGGCACTTGCCCTGTTTTGTTTCTGGGTCTATCTTGAAGTTTATCATGTTTCCTTTTAAGGTCATTGTTCAAAATATCAGCTTCATGAGAAGGCAAAATCCCCCCCTTTCCTCCTTCTCATTTGTTCTCCACTAAAGGTATCTGACCTGATCCATTCAGTTCTTTGCAGATAAAAACATAAAACCATGTTGTGATTTCTTTTTTTTTCCGAACAACTGTTGAACAAATGCTGTGAGCTGGCATGAATATTCTCTATCAAAGATTCCAGGTCAAAAGAATTCTAGTTCAGATGAATCAATGAAGTATAATAAAATTATGAAAAGGTAACAAACATAAAAGGACGCCTCTTAGCGATGATGATAAATCGTCACCAAAAGTTTGCATTGGTGGCCTAATATGCGAAGAAAGTACAAACGACATAGAACTACACCACTGCCTCCTGAAGTAAACCTCAAGTAAGGAGTCATGGTGGAGATAAACACAGGCAGCCACCTCTGTTTATCTCAAGCCTCCCATTTTGGTGCCATCTGGGACCAGTAGCATCAGCAGCACCTGCAAGCTTGTTGGAAATGCAGTCCCCTGGGCTCCACCCAGACCTACAGATGGGCTTGTGTTTGAGAATCTGTGAAGTCAGCTGAGCTATCAAGGGTTTGCTCAGCAAGGAACATGTTCTTCACATTTTTCATTCAAATTCCAGGTCACTGAATCTAAACAACCCACTTGGAGTTTCTGGGTTAAATGTTACCTGATTTCACACACACATAATTCTTTTTTGTTGTTGTTTTAGTCAATGCATAAAAAGCATTTATTGAATGTCTAAGAACTGTGATCAACATGTCTATTAAAAAGCAACCTTGTGGGGCCCTGTGATTCATTTTCTGGAAAAGGTCTCATGAGGCCAAAAGCTATTTTCCTCCTCCTGCCTGCTTCTCTCTCTGTCCCCCGTATTCTGATGCCTTGTCCACATCTGTGATGTCACCTGTCCCACTCCAATGACTTTCAGTTTCTTAAGCCCAATCTCTCAACTGAGCCTCAGACTCATGTCTGACTCACAACCTCATACACCCCCACCCTGGGGTGTTCCACAGTCCCCTCAAACTCGGCACATCACACTGTTAGGGAAAGGGGAAGAGGAGGACACAGGGAAGGTGGCCCTGGGTCCCAAATAATCATGCAGAGGGCTTGAAGAAAAGGCTGGTTGAGATTAGTGAAAGGACTGAATGCTGAATATTTGAAAAGAAATGTAGTTGAATGAACATCTAGGGGAACATAATGATTTACTTTAATTAGTAGATGACATTCCATTGTAAATAGCACGCTGTTTGTATGTCTTCATTTTTGTTGCTTTTATCTAGTTTATACAATTTTATCACCCACCAGAAAGCTCATTTAAACCATTTCCTTTTAAAAAGAAGTTGACAGCAGAAGAGCAGCCATCAGCGCAGCCTTCTGAAGAACCATAAGCCTCATACTAATGCCAGGGTCACCATCTGGGAGAAGTGACCTCTTTGTAAGGCATGTGGGTAGCGTGGTCCACAGCAGAATTCTAAGGCACCTGAGAATTGTAAGCTTCAACCTGGCCTCCAGGTCATTATGATGGCATCAAGGTCGAAGAATATTTTATTTTACGTTTTGTAGCTTGATTTATAATTCTTGAACATTTAAACCAGGGTTCCTTAACTGTGGCACTACTGACATTTTGGTTGGAATAATTCTTTGCTGGTGGGGGACTGTTCTGCATATTGTAGGATATTTAACAGCACCTCTGGCCTCTACTCATTAGATGCCAACAGCAACCTCCTTCAAGTGGTGACAATCAACAATGTTTCCAAACATTCCTAAGTGTTCCCTGGGGAGCAAAACTGCCCCAGTTGAGGCCCACTGGTTTAGACCTATACTTTGTGAGCCTACATTTGTGCCCCTGCCCCAGATCCCACAATTGTTGGGGTTGGTGGTTTCTAGCCACGTGATCTTGGGCACTTCCATCCTCTCTGGGCCTCATCTGCACTTGGTGGGAAACACATGAGAGAGTGTGTCAAAGCTTAGCTGCGGCCAATGCTCACTAGTCTCCTTCCTGCCTTGGTCAACCTTTAGGGGTGCTCACCTGTTCAGGAAGATGCTGCTGACATCGTCATGTGTGATGGGAGGCTTCTTGGAGCTGGCGGCCATCCGCAGTGGGCGCAGGAAATTGTTGACAAGGATGTGCAGCTGCTGCACGTACTCAGCCTCAGCCTCCAGCATGCTGAACACCACCTGGTTCCTCTTGCGCATGCTGTCGGCATGGGGTGACCGGATGTAGTCCTGGATGATGGTCTTCCACTTCCGCCGGCACAGCCAGCCCCGCAGGAAGCTCTGCACCTGGGCAGCAAGACCAGTGGGGAGAGGCTCCTGTCAGGGAGTCTGGACCACTGCTGTCCTTCAAGGCTGTGAGCTCCCCAAGGGCAGGGACAAAGGCTTTGTTATTCCTATGCCGGGCATGTAGCAAAAAGAGCTCAGATGTAGATCAGGCCTGGCTCTGTTGCTCACATGATGCAGGGCAAGTTGTTTGGTTGCTCTGAGCCAATTTTCCCATCTGTAAAATGGGGCTAAAGAGATGATGGCTAGACTGAAAGTCTGGTCCACAAATTGGACTGGCATCTCTGAAGAGCTTATTGGAAATGCAGATTCTCAAGCCCCACCCCAGACCTCTGCAGTTTAACAAGACCCCTTGGGTTGCTTTGGAAGCACTCGCTGGAGGAGGGCAAATGTGGCTCCATGTCTCCATAATGGGAGGTCGCCTGAGGATAAAGGGTTGCAGGGCTGTGCTGGGCACAGGTCATACCTTGCCTTGTCTAATGACTTGCCTGAAAGCCCAGAAGTTTCAATTAAAGCTCTTCTGGATAGAAGGGTGATTATCAAATTGAACAGAACATGGAAAATTAGTTAACTCATACTCAGCCCTCATCAGTGGCTTCTGAGTGCTGGGGCCTGCCTGGAGCTTCTCCCCCTGACTCAGTAGGGAAATGAACAGAGACACTTAACTCAGTTGCCTTGGTGCTGGGCTGCTTGGAGTGGCCTCGTGTTGGCAAGAACTCGGGAAAGGGCCTTGATTGACATACACACAGAGAGTTGTCTTAAGCTGTACAGGCTTCCAATCAAGGGCTTCTGAGCTGTACAGGCTTCCAATCAAGGGCTTCTTGCACAAGGACTGTGCAAGCTCACAGTCCACACTGGGAGGAAGGGTGCTGGGATGAGCCACTGGGGACCAGGCAGAGGTGCTCATACAATATTCTCCACTGAAAGGACCACTGTCTCCAAACAGCAGGTACAGTTGTCCAGGGGCAGACCTGCTGGCTAGAGATGGGTGCTGTGGAGAGAAGAGGCCTGTCCAAGCCCCAGGAGCTATCTCTGAAGATAGGAAGGGCTTTCTCAAAGAGGGAGGGGCTTACTCTGAGGTTCCAGGAGGGTGAAAATAGAGCGATGGGAGGTGGATTTCAGCTAGCCTTTAACAAAATGTTCCAACTAGAATGCTCCAAATACAGGGGTGGACTGGGAAGCTCACTGGGACTGTAGCAGAAAACATGGGTCAGGGCATCTCTGCCCAGATGGGACTTAACTCAGACCCGGGTGGCAAGTCCCAGTGTCTGTGGGGCCCTGGCAGTTCCTAGAGGTACGTGCAGCTGGCTGGGTGGGGCAGGGGGGTATATCATAAGGTGGCACCTCTTGCCTGGGCCAGCTGCTGTCATGTGTAGGAGGTGGCCTGGGGCTGCTGGACTTTCTGCTTTTTAAGGAGATGTCATGTCCCAGCAGCATAGCCTCTGGAGCTTGGCCGCCAGGGTTTGAATGTTACCCTGTACATACTTAGCTGTGTGACCTTGGGCAAGTTCCTTTGCATCTCTGTGTCTCAGCTTCCCCATATGTAAAATGAAAATAATAAATAAACCTCAGAGGATTTTAGTGAGGATAGAATTAATCTGCATAAAGCTCTTAAAATAATGTCTGGCACATAGAAAGTAGTTAATTAATGTTAGCTATTTCTAGTCTTAAGAAACCAGAAATCCAGATTTTTTGTGTGATGTGTTTAGCTTTTAAAGCACTGGCAACAAATTTTTAAAAATGTAAACCAAAAAAAAGCCCAGTGGGATGAAAATCTCAAAATCTCAAACACACTGGTAAGCTGAACTTGGCCCATGGGATGCCAGTTTGCAGTTTCTAGGGATGGCATTGGGGTCCTTTTATGCACTCAACAAATAGGATTCTGTGGTTTCACCTGTTTTTCTTAGGGTGAGTCAGGCTCCCCTGCCTTGAGTCTGGCAAGCTACAAGCACAGCCCATGCCCCTTCCCTCTGCCACACCACCACAGGGTGGCCCATGGTATGTCACTACCTGGCCACTGGGCAGATCCCTGGTAGCTTCTGAGATGTCTGTTCCTCCTGAACTCTCATAGGGTAAAAGCAGTGAGGTCCGAAAAAGGCTGGACTACTGTGCTGGGTCTGCTGGGGACTCAGGAGGTACTTGTGAGAGGTGGCGTGTACATGGCAGTGGGGGTCGCATGCCAGGGAGTGGCAGCAGAGAGGTGGCCCTGGGGGTCTTGGCAAGGTGAATGACAATGTGTGGAAAGCGGTCAGCTGAGAGTCCCAGGCCTGGGCTTCTGTCCTGGCTTTCCCCACTCCTTCCTCTTGTGGAACCTTGGTTTTCTTTTTTTTTTGAGACGGAGTCTCACTCTGTCACCCAGGCTGGAGTGCAGTGGCATGATCTTGGCTCACTGCAAGCTCCACCTCCCGGGTTCACACCACTCTCCTTCCTCAGCCTCCCGAGTAGCTGGGACTACCGGCACCCGCCACCACGCCTGGCTAATTCTTTGTATTTTTAGTAGAGACGGGGTTTCACC